CCACCCTTCAAGCCCTGGGCTTGGATCTCTRTCATTGTCACAGGGTCCTGAGGAAATGAGCACCCTTTCACATCTGTGGTGAGTCCCTCCAACCAGCACTGCCAAGCACAGGGCAGGATCCCAGCTAGTGCCAGGACCAGGTGCCAGGAAATGTTGTATGGTGGACAGCTGGGCTCTGGAACCAGAGGAACCTGGGCTCAGGCTGGCTCTGCTCCTTTACCTGCTCTGGAAAGGGAGGCAAGTCACCATGTTCATCTCCCTGTGCCTCAGTTTCCTCATACATAGAGTGGGCACAATGTGGAGTGACCCACTGAGATGGGAATTTGGGGAAAAAGGAGAGATAATGAGCCTTAAAGGAAGTGCCCTTGAATTTGAAATGCGAGAAACACCCAAGAACCACTGAAATGCAGAAAGCCCCCATGAACAAGTACAACTCCTGAGAGAAGAGCCCAGGCCCTTGACTGCAAAGGTAACTTGAGGGCATAGGTTGAACATGGGGAAATGGTGCATAATTGTGTAGCTCCACCCTGGCTCCATCTCTCCTCCAGCCCCTAGCAAATATCCCTCTATAAATATTCACACGCCTGCCCAGCAGGTTGCTGTTTCTCCCTCTGGAGATGGACCCKGAGCTTCCTTGATTATGCATCTACTTCTCCAAATAAATCTGTTTATGCATTTGGCACATGCTGACATTCTTTTCGGTCCCATGTACCAAGCAACCCACTGGTCCTGAGTCAAGTTCCCCCTTCTCTCCAGGAACTCCTCATATCCTCCTTCAGAGATATCTCTTTTCCTGTGACACCCTGAGGAAACTAGGGCAGGTGCCTGGTGCCCCGCAGTTCCTACCACAGTGCCTGCCGGTGAGGTCCTTCACTGATATTGGTGGAATCCACCTCTGGACCGTCACCCTCTCCCCCACTGCTTCTGCTTCCTCTGCCCCCTAGATGTGGGGACCTGGAGACCTGAGGCTTTAGCTGCTGTTGGAAAAGACAAAGACTTCTTGGGGGCTGGCACATTTGTCCATAGAATGGGGGAGAAAGGGACTGTCCAGATGTAGTCCTGTCAAGGTCCTAGCCTGGGGCACCTGACCCTGGGAAGGTAGGGTACTGCAGAYGTGGGGTACAGCAGAGTCACTGCACCCCTTTTCCCCTTGTGTGAACGCTGGGAAGTCAACAGATACTCCCCCCAGAGAAACCTCCAGGGTTAGGGGTGGACACTAGCTGCAAACCCATCCCAGCCTCCAGCCCCTTACCACACCTCAAGGGTAGGCAGGGCTTCAGTTTACAAATGGCCCTCAATGGACCAAGTCTCATTTGACCCCAGCTCCACGTGTGTGTGTGTGTGTGTGTGTGTGTGTGTGCGCGCGCGCGCGTGCGTGTTCCACGTGACCACATCATTCAACGTAGAGGGGTGGGAACCACTGGCTGGAGGAACATCCATCGGTTCAGGAGCAGAAGAGAAAAAAAGCCTGTACCCCAGAGTCGCACGGCTGGGGTCCGCCCCCTTCCTGGCCACGCCCCTCCTACCACACCCACCTGGTCACACCCTTTCCTAGTCACACCTCCAACAGGCTCCAGTTTCTCYTCGGGAGGGAGTCGCTGCTCCTTCTCAGTCGCCTCAGACGGTTAGTAGTACTGTGCTATAGAAGGAAAATCTTTGTTCGCTGCAGAGCGGTCCCMAACCCTTGCAATTCCTGAGAGGCGTCGGGGGAGCCTCTTTTGTTATTCATAAGGAGCCCCTAGCCGCCACACCTGAGTTCAAGCTCTGGCGACTCCGGCAGGATGGGACTGGTAGGTAGCCGAACAAAACACAAGATCAGAGGATTGGAACTTTCGGTCCCACCCTCTGACCTCCGGGGAGGGAGGAGGGGCTGGAGAGCCAGTGACTCACCAATGGCCAGTGATTTAATCAGGCTTGCCTAATGAGGCCTCTGTGAGAACCCTGAACCCAGAGGGTCCGAAAGCCCCCAGCTTAGCGGGAGGCCAGCACACCTATAGGACCGCAGCTCCGGTGCTCAGGGCCCTTGCACACCAAGCCCCAGGTACCTTTGTCATCAGCTGTAGATCTATATCCTTTGTAACCTTATTTATTTATTTATTTATTTATTGGTACTGGGCTTTGAACCCAGGGGCGCCTAACCACTGAGCCACATCCCCAGCCCCCAACCCTTTTTTTGTGGTGCTGTGGATCGAACCCAGGGCCTTGTGCATGCAAGGCAAGCACTCTACCATCTGAGCTACACCCCAGCAACCCCCTCCCCTTTTTTGCTTTTATTTAAAATTTTTTTAGTTGTAAAAGAACACAATACCTTTATTTTTATGTGGTGCTGAGGATCGTGCCTCSTGCATGGTAGGTGAGTGCTCTATCTCTGAGCCACCACCCCAGCCCCTTATTATGTATTTTGAGATAGGGTCTCACTTCATTACCTAGGTCTTCGCTAAATTGCTGAGCCTGGCCTCGGACTTGTGATCCTCCTGCCTCAAAGATTACAGATTACAGGCAAGCAACACAGTATCTGGTTCCTAACATACTTTTTTTTTTTTTTTAAGAGAGAGAGAGACAGAGAATTTTTTAATATTTATTTTTTAGTTTTCGGTGGACACAACATCTTTATTTTTATGTGGTGCTGAGGATCGAACCCAGCAACCCGCGCATGCCAGGCGAGCGCACTACTGCTTGAGCCACATCCCCAGCCCCCTAACATACTTTATAATAAATCAATAAAACTAAGTAAATGTTTCCATTACAGTAATCAATACACCTGAGGGGTTTGTGGAAACTCCTAATTTGGGGCTGGTTGTTTAGTACAGGTGACAACTTGGGACTTGCTGTTGGTGTTGAGGCACTGAGCCCTTAACCTAYGGGGTCCAACTCTCTCCCAGTACTTATTGCATAATGAATCAGGTATCCAGTGTCAGAGGGTGGGAGAACTTGTCTGTGTGGGGATCCCCCATCTCCCTCCCCGCCACCAGTCTGATATCTGAAGTGTTTGTGAGTGTAGAAAGATTTGTTCTTTTTCAGGTATCCAAAAGGCTCTGCCCATCACAATCCCAAGGAAGGCAATGGCCAGGGCAGGGGCAGGTGGCTGACTTCAGAAAGGAGTACTGAGGAGGCTGGGGACATGGCTCAGGAGTTAGGGCAGCAGCACCCTCTTCCCCACCCCTTTCCCCAAGCTGGTGGCTGGGGCTTCAAAAGCACACTTGGGGAAGGATGCCACCACCCACAGGCCCTGGAGGATCACSGATATTGTGCAAGGCACTTCCCTGGTTTTGCATCCAGGTAACAAGGCTGGAGGTGGAGGGACTCTCAAACAGGGGATTCTGAGRTGTCACTTCCATCCTGTTGTCCTCCCACACCCTAGGCTGGAGTCATGCCCTCAGCCCTACTCTCCATTTCTCCCTGGAAGCTCAGAGGTGTCCACCGGCAGCTCCTGGTCATACAGCCCCTAGGGTCCTGGCTACCACTGGACAGACCCCCTGCTGGCTGGAATGTAGAGCTTAAGTCATGGAAGCATCAGGTCAGCTACTCACAATGGCAACACCCCTGTGCAGAGAATCACCCTAGGGTCCAGCATGCAAAAATGTCGCACAGCAATGCACACAGCACAGGAATGTACACCGAGAAGGCACTTGACAAAACATTTATTGAGCACCTACTATGTGCCAGGCCCAGTGCAGGGCACTAAGAAAACAAAAGTCAATGCAATCTGGTTCCTGCCCGGAAGGAGCTCACAGTCTAGAGGGCCACAAGTCATATAATAGAAGCAAAGGTGCATTGGCATCACAATTTTACAACAAACTTTTGTATATGCTTTTTCAAGTGTAAACACTCAGTGACACAGCCATGTTGTCTTAAAAGCACATTGGTATAAATGTAAACACAGTTACACCATTGACGGACAGAAATCACCTGCAATGAACACTTGTGCTTWCAAAGCCAGACTTAGCATTATTTGATTCCCCCTGTTAGGTAGCACACAAGTTTTACCTATCTGCAGAAACAGGTGGAGAGTTCCGTGGCCCTCCTGCCACCGCAATGGCTAGAGGCAAAGTAGTCTGAATCCTCGACTGCTTCTCCACACCTGTTTTTTTAGCCTCCTCCAGACAAGGACCCTGGATATTCTTGAGCTCATTCTCCCAAGTTTATCAAATCAGGTGAAAGSACCACTTTTCCAGAACCCACCTGGCCCACAGGTGACACCAGTTCAGGCCAGCATACAGCCTGTACTGCTGATGCCCAGACCCTCCTGATGAAGATGAACTTTCTGGTCAGTGCTCTATGGGGACGATGCCCTCCAAGCCCTGATCCCCACCTCTCCCAAAGTGCACCTCACTTCTCAGTGCAGTGGGCATTCGGCCCTACTCACCACTTCTGCTGGGGKGTTCTAAACAGGACAGTGCAGCTTAGGGTTTGAGAGGGAGCTGCCTGTGAGTCCATCTCACCAGAGAGGGCAAGACCAAACAGATTCAGCCTGAGGTGAATTTGTTCAGGACTTACAGAATCTCAAGAGAACTGAAGTGGTCCAGGGAGTGGCGGGGAACCAGGTAAGGGCTCAGGTTTAAAGAAGCTGAGGAGAGGATGGGAGGAAGCTGTGTGGCGGAGGGTGCAGACCTACTGGAGAAGGCAGGCTGCCAGGACTCACCCACCCACCTACCTCCTGTCACCTCATGACATCTCTTTACCTGCAGGCAGACTGGGATCATTTCCCTTYAGAAAGGTCATAACCCTCATCTCCTTGGGCGTGAGTGCCCCTGGCCCCTACAGTTGCCTTGCCTGGACAGAGGCCTACCAGGTATCATTAGATATAATCTGTTAAAATGGGCTTCTGACGCCATTTCCAGAGTGGGGATAAGATGCAGTGACCCCAGGTCAAGCCTGGTCAGYGGGCCCAGGCTAGAGCCCTGCCCTGGTGCTTGCTACTCCATCCTTGGGACAGGTGGCCTTCTGGCTCCCACCCATGACTATCTTCAAGCCCTCCTGCCCCCAGGCTTGTTCTGGGAGGCCCCTTCCCCAATGAAGGCCCACACGGAACTCTCTTAATTAAAAAAAAATAATTTATTGTCAACAAAGGTGATATATACAACAGGAAAAGAGGTGAAAGGGAGAGTGGGGGTGAATGGAGCCCCTCTGCAGGGATGGAGTGGGAAGAGGTAATGGAGGCCTCCTAGTGTAGAAGCCTAAACAAGTGGGGGAGGAGAGGTGTCCCCCGAGGTAGTGGGACTCAGTTCAAACCCCCTCATGACCACCTCTGTGTAAGGCACTGTGCCAGGGGAGAATGGTGGGGAGCCAAGAGAGGGCGGGAGGAGGTGCAGGGGACAGAGGTGTGGGTCAGTAAAGGACTAGGGTAGGTGTTCTCCACTGGCCCAATGCCCTACCACACGACAGCCTCAGCCACCCTCTACCTCGGATCCAGCCTCAGACCCAGCCAGGGGCAGGCATCCTCCAGTACTCTGAAACAAGAATGGATGGGCGCTGCCCCACCCCTCCCTCCTGCCCTGGCACCTGGTTTTAAAACTCTGGGTGGCTGAGCCAGGCAGCTCTGAGCTATAAGCCAAAGGGGGACACTGCCTCCTCCCTCCTGCCCTTTCTCCCTCCCTCTCCAGGAAAGCAACAACTTACACCCCACTTCCTGCCTCTGGCTGCCCCCCTACAGTAGTGCTGGACTCTGACAGAACTGTGGGCCAGTCTGGGGCATCACCTGTTCCCACTCCCTTGGTGCCCCGGGGGTGCTTGGACCAATCTTGCAAGAGGCTGACCGCTGGGGGCTCCTCCAGCCGCACTCGGATAACCTGGAGATCCAGTGTCCCGCGAAGCCCCGGAGGGGGATCTGGGCAGGGATGGGAGCAGAGAGCAGAGTCAGGGCCTTCCAGAGCCTGGGGTGATAGTGACAGCTCTGCAGCCAAACCCACCTGTCCCCATCCTTCCTCATCTTCATTCACAGCCCTGTGCCTGGCCCCAAGGGAGGCCTGAGAACAGTGGGAGGTTCCACTCTTGGATGACTCCAGCACTGCCAGCTTGAGAGCCCTCTTGTCCATCACTGGGATGCTGCTCTGAAGCCTTCCTCCCTCATGAACTTGGGGACTTACTACCACCCCAAACCAGCCAGACATTGTGTTGCCCACCACAGAGCTGGTAAGTGAATATGCAGAACAGAGAAGAGCACTGGGCAGACAGCCCTGGATTAGCAACCTCACCAGACGTGATCTCCTGAGAGCCTACAAGGATCAGGTGTCAATCTTAGCAGTATGGAACCACTACTCAGAATAGCAAAGCTGGGTCTCAAGACAGGGGAAGGTGGATTACTATGGTCACTGCATAGCCACAGAAATGTCCTGTGACCTGGGCCTGTGCAAAAAACAGAAAGTGGCAATTGCAAATGTTGTGTATCGAAAGGGATTCTTTGCAGTTTTTCCCTCTAATTTTTAGAGACACAGTTATTAAAATGTGATAGAGAGAACAGATATAATTTTGTTATATGGTTCACCAGAGTTTTTAAGATGACTTACCAGGGAGGGGGAAAGGGATAGGGTAGAAGGGTGGTTGGATATAATCAATGCACAATGTATGCATGCATGGAAAACACTGAATCCAATTATTTGTAGAATGGATGTGCTAATGATTACAATAAAAACAAAATGACTTTATCAGCTATTACTTGGCTGTACAATTTAGCAATTTTTTGGGGGATACTGGGATGGACCCAGGGTCTTCTGCATCTTAGGAAAGCACTCCACCATTGAGCTACACCCTCAGTCCCTTTTATTTTGAGACAGGGTCTTGTAAATTGCTGAGGCTGGCCTTGAATTGAGATTTTCCTGCCTCAGACTCCCAAGTAGGTGGAATTACAGGCATGCACCACCACAACTGGCTGCAATTGTTTGTTCACACAAGGCAGTCTGCATTCTGGGTAACTATTGGCTCCTTGAGGGAAGACCGAGTCCCACTCATTTCAACAATAACTTCCTGAGCAACTACTATGATGCGCACACCACTAGGGACACAGTGGTGTATGGAACTGACCATGTGCCTTCTTGGAATTTAGTCTAGTGGTGAAAGCCAAAAAGGACAATCAAATAAAAGCTGCAGAATATCATATGTGAATAGATGCAAAACTGCACACACATCAGGGTGCTGAGATGCAGAGGTCATCAAGGGGCAGCTATGAAGTGAGTGGGGCTCTCTAATGTTTTGGGCAGAGGGAAGGGCAAGTGCAGAGGGAAGGGCAAGTGCAAAGGTGGGGGAGCCTGCCTGCTGCTGCAGGACCATTAGGGTCAGTGCTGCCTGTGCGAGGGAGGCAGTGTGGTGGGAGAGGTCAGGAGTCTGGAGGAAGAATGATCAACTCCATGAAGACTCTAGCTTAATCTGAAGTGTGATGGGAACAGCCTAGAGGGTTCTGCTCATACGAGTGGCCAGATCTAACCTGAGCTTTCGGGAGGGAGACAGGGTGCTGGCAAGAGCAGAGCACCTGGGCAAAGCTTGGAGCTATAACCCAGTAGAAGATTGCTGCCAGAACCAGGTGAGTGTAGGGGCAGGGGAGGCAGGGAGGGTTTTGGAGATCAGCTGGTGGACTGATGTAGGGTTGGAGAGGAACAGAAAAGGAGGATCCCAATGGTTTGGGAAGAATAAAGTGAAGGATGGGTCTACCAGTTTATTGGGAGAGTGGCTGGTTAGGGTAGGCTGGCAGAGGGTGATGAGACCTGGGGAGGAGACTGGAGGTTCAGTTTGGAAATGCCAAGTTTAGAAGTCTTTTGAGTCAACCAAGTAGTAATGTCACTTGGGGAACGGGGAGACAGGCTGGAACCAAGGAGAGATGGAGGGTAAATGTAGGGTACAAAACTCACAAATGGCAGAACTGTGAGCTGTACGGCTCTCCCAGGGAGTGGGGGATTTAACACACCACACAGAACCAGCGCCTATTCTGGGCCAGGGGGTGCTCTGGCCACCAGGGACAACTTGATCTGAAGGAGTTCCCGTTCTAGAAAGGGCAAGACAGATAATATACTGTTTCCAGGTTGTGGGGGCGGAGATAAGCAAGCAAGGGAAACAGAGGCAACAGCCAGTGGGGAGGCATCAAGGCAGGCAAGCAGCTCCAGAGAACCAAGGGAAGACAGTTACTGCCAGGAAGGTGGGAGACAGGGCCACTGTTACCCCCGGGTCAAGAGAGGGAGGACCAGGGATCTCACTAAATTCATTTTATGGAAGTCAAGGGCAACCTTGCCAAAAAGCGTTTCGGCGTGGAATGTTGAGGATGCACATTTTACTCAAGCGGATTCCAGAAAGAGAAGAGAGGCAATATAGAAAAGGCCATTATCGTTGGAGACAAATGGGTCAGGGACTAGAGGGATGAGGGGGTCAAGGAAGAAATGACAGTTTTGTTACAGGCTGATGGGGAACACTGAGAAGATATGGGATGACAAGCAGAGGACAGAACCCATGGGCGTTTTTTTCCTTCCCTAGGGCTGGGGACGCAATCCAGGTCTCGCATATGCTAGGCAAGGACTCTACCACTGAGCTACCCCAAGCTCACCCTTCTTTGGGCAGGGGTCTTGGTATATTGCCCCAGTTGATCTTGAACCCCTCAGCTTAGCTGGGACTAGAGGTGTGAGCCTCCACATCTAGCTGAGTCCTCTTGTGTAAAATGGAAATTGTATCACTTTCCATAATGCTTTACTTTCATAAAATAGCATACCAGGAAAGTTTAATACATAGCAAGAGTTCAAATACGCTAGGGACTTCTCAAGCCACCAGATCTTACTAAATTCATTTTATGGAAGTCAAGGGCAACCTTGCCAAAAAGCAGTTTTGGCGTGGAATGTTGAGGATGCACATTTTACTCAAGCAGATTCCAGAAAGAGAAGAGAGACAGTATAGAAAAGGCCATTCATTATCTTTGGGGACTAATGAATTGCACCAGTTCTTCCTGGTAGCAAGGAGGAAAGAGGTAGGTAAGGATAGGTAGGGAGAGGAGGTCAGGAGAATAAGGCCTGAGATGTGGAAATGATCCAGAGCTCCAGGGATATAGAAAAGCAAGCTAGGCTGGGCACAGTGGCACATGCCTATAATCCCAGTGACTCAAGAGGGTGAGGCAGGAGGATCTCAAGTTTGAGGCCAACTTCAGCAATAAGACCCTGTCTCAAAATGAAAAAATAAATAAATAAAAAGGGCTGGGGATGTAGCTTAGTGGTTAATAATCCCTGGGTTCAATCCCAGGTGCCAAAAAAAAAAAAAAAAAAAAGGCAAACTGTTTCCCTTCCTGTCCTGCCCCAATTCCTCTGCTTCCCMCCCCATCACCCCTTTTCTCTCCAATTTGGGAGTATGTGCTTACATGCGTTCCACAGAGACCCACTCCTCCTGCAGAGGCTGGGACCCATTCCCCTTGTTTCTCACTAAGGCCAATCTCTGGACAGGGACTCTGGAAATGTCACCACCTGAATGACAAGTGAAGGTAGTCAATCGTCTGTCTTTTCTTTCTTTCTTATAGTACTGGGAATTGAACCCAGGGCCTCACGCATGCGAGGTAAGCACTCTACCAACGGGCCAAACCCCCACTCCTTTTTATTTTGAAACAGAGTCTTACTAAATTTGCCCGGGCTGGCCTAAAGAGAAAAGCAAGCCTGCGTCTTGAGTAGCTGGGATTAAATACAGGCAGCCCTGTGCCCAGCTCAACTTTCCAATCAATTGTCACTGAGGGCTTTCTTTGTGCCAGACACTACTCTAGGTGCTGAGGACTCAGCAGTGAACAAAAACAAAGACCTCACAAAGCTCACACTCATGGGTACACATGTGCCCTCTCACTGTGCTTCCTCCATGGTCCAGCCTGGAAATACTGTTTGGCCAAGGTTTCCTAACCAGACCTCAGGGTCCTGCTCAAATCAAACACCAGCAAGAAAGAGGTTTCTCCCCCATGACTTGTGAGTGGGTCCTCCTGGCTCACTTTCTCTGCTGGCTTGGACAACAACCCACCCTCTTCTAGCAAGGTCCTTGAAAAGTTCTAGAAACCTCCCAGACTATCTATCTCATCTATTAGCTCAACTAATGTGACCACAGTGAATTTTTCCAATTCCCAGAGCCGTGAGTTTTAAACTGTTAAAAAAAAAAAAAAAAAAAAAACAAACAGTGGCAGGCTCTTTACTCAAATAGCTCTGGTTTCTTTTGTGTGTGAAAGACAGATACTGGGGATTGAACCCAGGGCCTGATGTGTGCTAGGAAATGCTCTACCCTAGAGCCACATCCCCAGCCTTGGGTATTCTGAAATGGCCCAAAACCTCAAGCCAGAGCCTGTGCTCTACTTTGAAGCACCATGGGTGCCCACCATTCCTGAAAATCCCCCTGCCTCCAGCAGTGTCCCAAGACAGACTGGGGTCAAATCACTCATGTGATTTCTTAAGACTGATTCCTTGGGGCTGGGCTCCAGGGACACTTGTTGCTACTCACTGTCTCCTGTGGCCATCTCCAACCTCCATAAATTCTACAACTGCTAAAACATCTGCCACACTGCCATCTCTTGATCTGATTGGGTTGTAAAGTCCTATCCTTCTCTCTTTGCCCACTCACACCAAAAGATCCTAAAATCTCAGGGATTCTTTTCTCTTCTACTCACTACCCCAGACCAGTAGAGTGTCTGCACAAAGCACCCTAGGATTAGAAACAAAGACTCCCTCTGAGTATGAAACCAGAAGACTTTGGGTGTCATGGTACACACCTAATAATCCCAGGTACTTGAAAGGTTGAGGCAGGAGGATCACAAGTTTGAGGCCAGCCTCAGCAACTTAGTGAGACCCTGTCCCCAAAGAAAATAAAACAGGCCAGGGATATAGAATCCCCTGGGCTCAATACTTAGTACTCAGGGAAAAAAATAAAAACAGAAAAAGAAAAGACCTACTAAACCCTAGAGAGGCCATCCATTTAAAGAAGGATCCCCAGAAGGGGAAGGAGACAGAAATGAAGCCCAGGCCAATCTCAGTGGCGCATGCCTATAATCCCAATGGTTTAGGAGGCTGAGACAGGAGGATCATGAGTTCAAAGCCAGCCTCAGCAACTACGAGGCGCTAAGAAAGTGAGACCCTGTCTCTAAAATAAAATACAAAATAGGGGTGGATATGTGGCTCAGTAGTCGAGTACCCCCGAGTTCAATTCCTGGTACCAAAAAAAAAAAAAAAAAAAAAAAGAAGGGCTGGGGATGTGGCTCAAGCGCGCTCGCCTGGCATGCATGCCGCCCCGGTTCGATCCTCAGCACCACATACAAACAAAGATGTTGTGTCCGCCGAGAACTAAAACATAAATACTAAAAAATTCTTTCTCTCAAAAAAGAAAAAAAAATGTTCAAGTCTAAGCAGGATGCTTTGGTCTAGAGGCAGCGCTGGAGTTGGCTCAAGCTGAGATAACTAAAGTGTGATCTATGTAAAGGGGTGAAGCCCACCTTAAGAAAAAAATAAATATAACAAATAAATAAAAGCAAGCATGCACACACCCACACAGAGCTTTGTTAAAAGACTGTTAACAGTGGGACCTACTAGTGTGCATAGGGGATTTGCAAAAGTAGATAAGCTCACCTTTTTGAGAACACCACACCAAGGAGCCTCTACCCACCTKACTAACCATCTTTCCCGGGCTCTAACTCCAAATGCACATTTCCAGCAAGCTGGGAAAAGGACACAGCACTTCCCAGGTGACCCCTTTACTACTTCAGGAAGCACTTCCTGGGCCTGGGATGCTGTGAGCTGAGAGGGGAACCAGGTTGGGCCTCTGCTCCCATAGAATGCATTCCAGTCTCAATTCTGCCATTGCTTGGTAGCAGAATTATGGCTACCAAAGATGGCCATGTCCAAATCTCCAGAAGCTGGGAATGTTTTATTCCACAACAAAGGGGAATTAAGGATGCTAATCTGCCAACTAAAAACTAGATGGGGGGATGGGATTGTGGCTCAGTGGTAAAGCACTCGCCTAGCACGTGAGGCTCAGGGTTTGATCCTCGGCACCACATAAAAATAACATAAAGTTCATTTTGTATACCTACATCTAAAATAAACTAGATAGGTCTGGGAATGTGGCTCAGTGGTAGAGTACCTGCCTAGCATGTGTCAGGCTCTGGGTTCTGTCCCCAGCACCAAAAAAACCCTGATTACTCTGGGCTACCTCAGGGTAAGGCCTATATAACCCCCCCCCCCAACAAATATTTATGTTTTAGTTGTAGTTGGACACAATACTTATTTATTTTTATGTGATGCGAGGATCCAACCCAGGGCCTCGCCCATGCTAGTYGAGTGCTCTACCGCTGAGCCACAATCCCAGCCACAGGCCTATATCATCTTAAGCATCCTTAAACAGGGAAGACAGAGGCAGATGACTCTGAACCCAAGACCTCTGCTGGGAGCCTCTATGAACCACTACTGGCTTTGAGGCCACAAGCCAAGCAATGTGAGCATCTTTTAGAAGTCATGTAAGGTGAGGAAACTAATTTCCCTAGAGCTTCCAGAAAGGAACAGAGCCCTACCAACTCCTTGAATATAGCTCAGGGAGACCCACATTGGACCTCTGACCTCTAGAACCATATGTTTTAAAAGCCACCAAGTTTGTGGCAATTTGTTCAAGCAGCAAATTGGAAATTCATGTAACGACTGAGAAGGAACCATTTTTTTGAGACTCAGTTTCTCCATCTGAAAAAGGTGATGGGCACCTGCCCTTTAACTATAACATATTTTTGTAAGTATCAAATGAACTACATAAAGTTTTTTTTTTTTCTTTTTTCCTTTTGGTATTGACAATGAACCAAGGGGTGATCTACCACTGAGCTATATTCCCCAGCCTTTTTAATTTTAAGACAATGTCCTGCTAAGCTGCCCAGGCTGGCCTCAAACTTTTGATCAGTCCACCTCAGCCTCCCAAGAAGCTGGGATTATTGGTGTGCATCACCATGCCTGGCTAGAAGTTTCTTAAAATCAGTTTCGTGTGGAGATGGGTGTGAGGCTTTTGAGGAACACTGGCACAGCCCAACCTAATGACCAATTCCAGGAATTTCCTAAGGAGCACTCGGAAGTGCTCGGCTTTCCAACCAGCCTCCCTGGTCACTCAAATCCCATTGTCCTTATCCTGTCTCCCAGGGAACTGAGCACCAACCTCTTCTGTGGTCTCCAGGGCAGCACAGCCTCAGAGACCAGAAACCCAACTTTCCCCATCCTCCCTCTGAGGAGGGCTCACCTGGAGTGGGGCTTTCTGGCTGGGGAAGGCCTTCTGCTGCTTTGCCCTCCTTATGTGAGTCCTTACTGTCGGTGGCCCTGAGCTGGGTATGGGAGAAGAGCTGGAGGACGAAGCCAGGTGGAAAGCTGCCGTCGGTGAAGTGTCGGACTTCAGCTGGTGCTGCAAAGGTCTCTGTGGGTGAGTCGGGGGATGGTGGGTCTGGAGGGCAGACAGGAAGGAATTTTGAGCAAAGGAGGCCAAATCACAAGGTCCGAGCCCCACGCTGTGCTCACCAACCTAGATTTTAGTTGGAGGACTGCATGAGGGCCTGCGCCCACCACTCCCTGGCCTCCCCTCACCTGGGTCAGGGTCCAAGTTTTTGGTCATAGGTCTGCCTCTCTTCTTTCTGACAGGCTCTTCCCCAGGGGACTCCTTCCATCTCTGACCACGAAGTTTCTTATTTCCAGGCTCRGGGGCAGGGGCAACTGTAAAAGAAAGATCCTAGATCTTTTTAAGAGGCCACCATACCTGCACGCTGCCATCCCTGGGCTCCTGAGGACACCTGCTCAGCAGCAGCCCAGAACGCAGGCCTGTGCTTCACCCGGGCCCCCACTCCACCTTACCAGTTCCCCTGCTGACTGACCAGGCAGCTCAAGGGGACGGAGTCCCCTGGGCCGGATCCTTTTTGGGAGGGACGCGTTGTCCTCAGAGTCCAAGAGGACCACGATCTCTGCTGGCATCCTAGCAGAGTCTGCATTGCCATTAGGGTCTGGTTCAGCATCCCGGCCTGATTCTGAAGAGGCAAAAGCCCAGTGAACTCCCATGGCTCCCGAGAGCGATCCCGCAGGCCCTCCCTCTTCCCCCACTACCTGAGCTGGGGGGGGAGGGCTGTTCAGCATGAACATCTTGCAAAAGAGCCACTCCTTCACTCCAGGCCTCCAGAATATTGCTTTTCTCAGAGGGGCTCAGGTCTAGGGTATGGGGATGCTGTTCCAGGATGTGCATTCGAGCAGTGTCGGCTGAGGGGAAGCGGATCTCGGCTCCACACACCATGCACAGGGCCCGCCCRCTGCCTCCTGGGCTATTCCCCACCAGGAACTCCTGTTCCCAAGACACTTGTTGCTTAGGCTCCTCACAGCCATCACCAACTATCTCCAGCAGGTTGGGCTGAGGTGGTGGGGTCTTTTCCTGTTGGGTCACTGTGGAGTGAGAGGGAGAGTGCTATCAGTAAAGGCACCCATGAGCCATCATGCTCATAACAAACCTACGTAGGGCAGAGAGGGGAGTATTTCTATCATGTTCTCCATTGCACTGGACACCACAGGCACAAACCACGTTGCACATAGGTTGTACTCAGTGTCACACTACTTTCACCTAAGTACACCTTCTTTCATCTAGTCCCAGGCCTTAGGACTACACATTTCCCAAGAGGCTATGTTCTTAAAGCTCTCTAGCCTGTGCAACCCTGCTCAGCTGGTGATGGGTATCTTGACTCCAGGCCACAGTATCCTTGCCGGTTAAAGATGCTATATTTCATCACATTCTATATTTACCACCTTGTCTCCACAAGATTGATAGTAAGTAAGTATACACCTGCCTGTTCCAGYCCCTTCAAAAGGCCACCTAGTCCTTCAGAGTGTGCCCAGAGCACCGGCAGCAATGGTCTTGCTCCCATTGAGCTGGGTACCACGTACACACGTGGCCAATAACCTTTTYAGCTCAACACAGGCAGCCTCAGTCCCAAGTCAATCTGACAGCTCAACACCTCTGTGAAGTGTCTGTGATCCTCTGTGGCTACACCTCTCTCCCACCATTCAGAAGATGGGACAAACTATAAACATGGGAGGGTTAGCACCTGAGGGCTGTGTGGAAGAGGTGAAAGGGTAGCATTTGGAAAGGATATGAGCCTTGGCTCTGAAGTAGACAACTCAGGCCCCAGGTGGATTGCACTGCTCTCCTGTGTGACTCTGGACAGAATCTTGATTTCTTAGTTGCAATAGGCTTTCTTCCCCTCACTTCCCTGAACCAGCTCTAAGAAGGTCGCCAATGCTAAACCCAGAAGGCAGTTCTTCAGCTTTACCTGCTGATCAATTTCTCCATCTTGATTTTCATCATTGATAGCCAGGGACCACCTTCCCTTACTTCCCCTGTTGCTCTTAGTCACCTGTGCTGACTCTTGTCTCCTTCATCATGTCTTCTCAGATATTTTTACAGCTATCTTGCTTCTTCCAAGTCACTGCTAAAGGCATCCAGGCAAGGTCTGTGCTGGAGCCCAGGAAGCTACCACCTCCCCTACCTAAGCACCTCATTTCGTTTTACTGCACTGTTTCCTCCCAACATAGCATTGTGTTTCACTTGTGCACTGTGTCCCCTCCACACTTTCAGCTTCAGTGAGGGCACTCCCCCATACCCTGCATGCAGTGCTACCAACTGAACCAGGGCTTTGTGTATAGGAGACAAGTGCTCTTCCACTGAGCTGCATCCCTGGCCCAACAGGACAGATTTCTGATGGTTTGTACTTAAGTCCAGAATCAAGAACAGAATATGGCAAGTAGCGGCATTCAGGATTACCTGATGTTGGACTAATTTGATCTCTAACCTGTAATCACTGGAGTATTCCAGGATTTAGTCCTTGAACCCCTTTTCTTCTGTTGGTTTCTTTCCTCTGGTTTCTTTCTCACCTATTTCCTGACCTCCAGCAGGACTCTGCCATGAAGTCTAGACTCATATATCCAAACTATTTATCAGATCTCTCCACTTGGACTTGTAACATCTGGAACTTACCATACCATATTCTAATCTTAACTTCCAATATAATATAAATCTACACTCAGTCTCCTCCATCTAAGCAAAATATTTTCTTTCCACTTGCCTTAAAAACTTTAAATTCACTTTTTTCCCCTCTCATACCCAAATTGTTTGAGAAGCTAGTGGCTCAGGACCTTTGCACTTGCTCTTCTGTCTGCAATGCTCTTCCTCCAGCCATCTGTAAGGCTGGTTTCCTTAACTTTCTTCAGTTCTGTGCTCAAAATTCACCTCATTAGAGAAGCCTTTTCTAATTAGTCTAGGCACCAAATAAAACTCCTACTCACCCTTTCTCCTTATATTACTTTAGTATAACCATTTACTGCCACCTTACATACCATATTTATTTACCTGTCAGCTGCTGGGATATGTATGTTCCACAAGGACAGGGTTTCATCTGCCTTGTTGGCCCCTGTTACCACCTCAGACTAAAACAGTGCCTACCATATAGTAAGTGCCCCCAAAATATTGGGTGAATAAACGACCTCTAGACTTCTATTTCCTCCCTAACAGTGGGGACAGGCAACCTATGAAGGGAAGTTGAAGGGATTAACTAAGAAAGCCTTTGACAATAAGAGCAAGCACTCCATAAATATCAGTGCAAGCAGGAAAATAACGTGTGTGTTGGACTGAATGCTTTGAGAAGGATGTGGCCTTTATTTCCAATTTTATAACAGTCCTGATTGGAGGATAAGAGGCAGTGAGTACAGAGAGAGTATATCATTATTTTTAAGTGACAATGAATGGCTTTGCTCTCAAACTCTTTTGGGTACTGTTCTCCTCACCCAAGGAGATATTGGAAAATGAAGAAATATTCTCATTTTCAAGAAGATTAAGTCTTCCACAAAGATGGCTCTTTGTTTTCTTAGGATTTGCAAGCTCCTGAGGACTAAGGAAATTGGTGAAGGGGGAGGGGAGAGAGAATGTTCCCAGATTGTTCCTGGGAATCCCCTCCCATGCCTAATCTCCTTTTAGATGGCTTCTTTCAGGAAGCCACCTGGCAAGAACTGCTTTTCCCAAACTAGGTGCTGTGCGCAGTTCCATTCATCGCCCAAGTTCKCTCAAGAATCTGACACCTGTGGCTTATGCAAGTGGGAGGCCTGGAGATGGGGTTGGGGGAGGAAAAGATTTATATTTTGAAGGGTTCTTAAAATTATTTTGGAGGTTAGATAGGTCTCTTGCCTCCACCCTCCAAATCGCTCGGGACACCTAACTACTGTCCCCAGCCTGGGGCCTAGAGGCCGGGCCGCCCCTCGGCCTAGGACACAGCTTGGTCGGGCAGGGAGACTGCAAGCTGTGGACACCCAGCACCTCGGGGGATCGGGCCTCCCGCGCTGGGCCCGGGCGAGGGGGCGCTCGGGCACCGGAAGATCCGGAGCGCGCGGGGCGTGGATCGAAGTCTCCAGACCCTGGGCGGGGGTAGGGGAGGAGGGGGAATTAGGARAGGCCTTAGATTCCAAGCGCTGGTGGGGGAGGAGCGAGAGCGCGCCCCGGGCCCGGGCCMGAGCGGGAGGGGCGCCCGGCCCGCAGACCCGAGCGGGTGCAGGGGTGGCCACGCTCGGACCCCGGCCGGTGAGGGGCGGCCTGAGCCCCCCCCCCCCGGCTCGGACCCTGAGGCGGAAGAGGGGTCCCCTCCCATCCTCACCTCTGAGCATCGGCTCTGGCCGCGGGATTACCGCCACCACCACGGCCTCGTCGTCGTCCTCCCCTTCCTCACACTTGAGCGTCACCTCGAAGCAGTCCAGCGCGGCTCCCTCGGCCTTCAGAGCCATGGTGCGGCCGGGGGCGACTGCGGTGACCCGACGCCGGAGGACGGGCGCGCAGGCCTCGGCGCGCCACCGGCGGCCGCCTCCGCCCGGGCCCGCGCCGGGCCCGCGGCCCGCCCCGTGCACCCGCCGGAGCAGCCCCCTCCGCGCCGCCCGGGGTTCGCCCGCCCGCCCGCGACACACCTCAGCGAGTGGGGACCCCGGGCGGGCAGGTCTCAATCCGGGGCTCCAGACCCCGCCGCTCCCTTTTATGGAGGCTCATTGTCGGCGGCGCCCGCCGGCCCGCCCCCAGGCCCCGCGCAGCCAATCGGGCGCAGCCCCGCCCAGACCCCGCCCCAGGCACGCGGCCCGGTTGGAGCCCGGGGACGCCCGGTCGGCGGGAAGGGTTGTGCGGGCTGGCGGTGCCTGTGTAGACTCCCCGAGCTGGGGTCGCCAGGAGCAACCCGCCGAGTCCGGGGGTCGCTGTCCGAGTCTGGGGGTCGTTGTCCGCTGTGAGCTCTGTTTGCTGGCAATGAAGAACACTACCAGGTTCCCCAGGTTTCAGTCGGGGCCACTTGTACCTTTGCGCGGACCAGCTACCCAGAAGGTGYCCTGGGGGAATAGAACAGTGGGGGCTTGGAAGGGTGGAGACTGAATTCCTTCAGATTTGCCAACTCTGTGACCTTGGCCGKTTTGGGTTTCCTTGGACTAGCACATCCTTTCAACCACGGTTTTGGACTCCTGGGGACAAGGGAAYGAGTAGATGAAGAGGAACCAAGTGGAGTGTAGGTGCGTTTCAACCGCTTCCCTCCGTGCTTATGGAAAGTTTATTAAACGAGAATCCAGAGTTTTGTGTCCCTATCCAAGGTCACACAAGCAATCCATTGGGAGCCCCAAGACCAGACTGCAGTTGCCATGACACTGCCGCATCCACAGTCATTCTCTGGGCTAGCTTTTACCTGGCAACATAGAATGGCCACTATCTCTTATGCAGAAACCCTCATAAAAGATTTAAGTTGAGAAATGCAAATTGTCCCACCCACGCTGAAAATCCATCTTAAAACACTACCAGAACACACATAGTAGTGATTTAGAATAATCTAGAAGGATAGGGGAGAGGAGGTGTGACCTAGTCTATATAGATCACAGTATATATATTTTTTATTTTTTTAAATTGTAGTCGGACACAACACCTTTATTTTATTTATTTTTATATCGATTTTCTAGTTGTAGGTGGGCACAATATCTTTATTTTATTATTTTTTATTTTTATATGGTGCTGAGGATCGAATCCAGGGTCTCACACATGCAAGGCAAGCCCTCTATCGCTGAGCCATAACCCTGGCCACCACAGTATATTTTTAATGGGAAATTTTATTTCTTTCAAGAGTATCCAGTATCTCCAAAGATTTTGCAARTAAAAGTATTGTCAATCCTGTTTGGTTTTTATTTTATGGTCCTTCCCTATTGAAGTGAGTTAAACCCTGAAGCAGGCAGTTTCTCAGTCTTTAAAGGCAGGGGGGYTTCAGGCCTAGTTCTGACTAATGGGAGATATTGGCAGAAGAATGGAAGGTGGGAGGAAGGCAGAAACCAGCGTATGTGTTTTGTTTTCTCTATTCTGTCTCTGTCTGCCCTGTTCCTGCAGCAGATGAGCCCCTTCCCCTTCCCMTGTCACCAGCTCCTACTGTGATAGGTAGTCAGGGTCCCAATATCCGTTTATTYATGGCCTTGGGCTCCATTAATCCTCCATTCTCCTTTGGTCTCTCCATTTCCATAGCAGAAGGCAGCTTTTTGTTTTTGTTAATCTCTGGGTTGCCTCACTGTCCCCTGTTGGGTTTCTTAGCGCTTCCATCCCCTGTCACTTTTGTCACCAGTATCCTGCAATTACTTTTCTCTGTGGTTCCTATTTTCCTGCTTGAACCCTGAGTGATAGTCCTGGTTTTGTAACAGGCACTTAGAAGTCATTATTTCTYGGTCCTCATAAGTCTTTTGCAATTTTCCACATTGTTCATGATTTTTTTTTTTTGGGGGGAAGGGGGCATACAGGGGTTGAACTTAGGTGCACTTGGCCACTGAGCCACATCCCCAGCCCTATTTTGTATTTTATTTAGAGACAGGGTATAAAGTCCTTGTTAGCATCTGGATGACCATTTTAACAAACAGAAGCCATTTTAATGCCCAAGGGCATTTCTAAGAAAGGTTCATCACTCCCTCACACCAACCCAGCCCCAACCACCCCCATTAGGACCCGCCCAGCTCTGATCCCTGAGCCTGCCCCATAAAAGTTCCAGAACCCAAGCCTGTATTGCCTCTCTCTCCTATAGAAAGATGGCCTGTATTTGTCAGCTCTGACAAATAAACTCTGGTGTGGATCTCTGCCTGGTACCCGTCTTTCATTTCTCATTTATCCATGTCTCCTGCCTTGCTTTTCCTTCATCCACCAAAAGAAACAAAGCAATTCAGAGACTGGCCATCTTTATGTTTATCTGTAAGGCAGGAGGATTAAGACAGGGCTAGAGTCATCTTCAGAAAAGAGTCAGTAATCACCCAGAGAATGGTAACTGTCATTTTTGTGGTTGTGAAGTGGCCACGTCTTTGTCTCATTCTAAATATGGTTTATATTCTGCTTGTCAGAGCATGGTCTGAGTATCATCAGAAGGGACATCTCTGACTGTCTTTATATTCCTAAAACTTCACACTAATATTGATTATAACAAGCACCCCCAGGGTTGAGGAGGTAGCTCAGCAGTAGAGCACTTGGCTAGCATGAGTAAGGCTCTGGGCTCCAACCTCAGTACTGCAAAAAAAGAAAAAGAAAAAAAATCCCTATTTCAGGGATATTAAAATGAGGAGGGGTTCATTCTAGATTTGATTAAAGGGAACTCTGGCTCTGCTATGTTGGGCAAATAATTTAACTCTTTAAGCCTCAACTTCCTGCTTTATAAATCATGAACAATTGCTAGGCGCCATGGTGCACTTCTGTAATCTCAGCAGCTCTGGAGGCTGGGGAAGGAGGATCATAAGTTCAAAGCCAGCCTCAGCAACAGTGAGGTGCTAAGCAACTCAGTGAAACGCTGTGAAGGGAAAGGGAGGAAGGAGAGATGGGTAAGTGAGAAATGAAAGATGGAGACCAGGTAGAGATCCACACAAGAGTTTGCCAGAGCTGATAAATAAAGGCCATCTCTCAGTAGAGGCAAAACAGGCTTGGGTTCTGGGACCTTTATGGTGCAGGCTCAGGAATCAGAGCAGGTGGGTCCTAATGGGGGTGGTTGGGGGTTGGGTTGGTATGAGGGAGTGGTGAGCCTTCTCAGGAGCACCCTTGGGCAGGAAAGCAAAACTTTTTCCTCAAAATGGCAGCTGTCACTTAAGGTGGCCACCCAGATGCCAAGCAAGGACCTTATATTCCCCCCTTTTTCGTTTTTTATTGGGCCCCTTAGGGAACAGGGATGTAGGTCAATCTTCTGTAACCCTTCCCTTCCTGCTGGGTAGGGGTGGCATTTGAATCCCTCATTAGRATGTCAYTGGAATGATGACAGAGGGGTTGAGTGGTGGTGGAATGCTGTCCCCAGTGCCCCAGTTTTTGGTGAGGGATTGGTATTCCTGTAACAAAAGCTGGTTTATAGTTTGGCTAGAGAATTTTTGGATCTGGTCTTGAACAAATCTAATGATGCAAGGGGGCAAGCATTAACAGAAGACCTATGACGAGAAGGGTCAGGAGAGGAAGTGCCCACCGGAGAAGGGGGTTACTGAGCTGCCATCCTTCAGCAGAGGAGAGTTGTGGTTTTCGATGTTCAAGGTCCTGTTGGAGATGTTTTATCTTGTCCTTTTCTGTACCCGATTGATTGACATAAAAAGAGCATTCCTCCTGTAAGTGCAGACAAATTTCGTCTTTTTTTGGCCGTTAAAAGATCAAGTTCGATTCTGCAGAACCACATCA